CCAGAATTATTTATTGTCTTTATGCAGCAATTTCAAGCGCCGAATCATGATTCTTTAGTTTCACATACTACAGTGTTATAGGAGGTTTTGAAAAGTTGATTCGCCAGCGATAAGTACGCTTTGTACGGAACTGGGCAAGAGAAATAGAAGAGAAATTCAGTACAATGGAGTTTCCATAAGATTTTGAGATCGTAAGAATATTAATTCGAGAAAACCAGACTCCCAAAAAAAGAAGTTCTAAATCATGTTTGTAGATTTCACATTAGATTCAGGTCTACACTCTGGAATAATCAGCTCTCATTAGGTATTTCTGTTCCAGAATAGTTCTTCGATATTATCAACAATTTAAAATCGACAAGCGATTGCCGTAAACGACTAAGTTCATTATAGCTTAACCTCCCGATCTGTTGTACTGTCGGAGTTGGCAGACAGATTTAAGCGACACACCGCCCTTTCAGGATTTAGAATGTTTAACTTAACGGTAAACTAAGAAGACTCCCTAGTCAGAAACACTTTTGTGTTAGAATATTTTCACTTAATTTATGGTGCTTGTACCGTCCTTTCATCCGTGACCAAAAGCAAATCAATCCTTACAGTTTACTGAGTTTGTCCACGGAACGTGTCTGCGTAAAACCTGAAAATTATAGGCCTTATCTTTCAGTCAATTCCAAGCAATGGCCTATTATTGCAGATGCGGGTAGTAAATGATCGCGAACGGTTTATTGCCAAGAGCAGCTACACCAAATAGTACTTGCTTGTGAAGAATATAAATGAATACAATATTAAATATCTGCACATAAAATGAATACGGTCCGACAAGATGAGTGTCTCTTATGAGAGCCGCAATTGTTGCCACGTCGTCAATGAATTATTGCTTTTGCTTTCCTTTTTCTTTCGGTAGGAATCTGAAAGGGGTGTACGAACAGGTAAATGCACTTGAAGTCACTTCATTTAAGTCTATCTCAACCAGTACACTCGGCAACAGACCTTAACCTCGATGAATCAATCAATACCCTGAGCAACTGCTTGAAGCAATCTTGCATTATATACATCATTTATATAAATCATTTGAAGTCATCGAACCAAATCAAATTATATATCTCATTCAGTCAATTCTACGAACCCCTACATCCTTCAGCCGGGTAAATCCTGTGTAGCTAACTTTATATTATGGCTGTCTTACCGCGCTACTGAGTAGGTCACTGAAATCACACGATTTTCAGGACTACACAGAGTGTCAAATTTCACGCAGGTATCAGTAACTATCAAAACACAGGCAACAACAACAACGAGCTTTATTTGCATGACCATACAAACACATACAGTATTGCAAAAGCTATGTTTAGGAATCAAAATTACAACATAGGGCAATTACGTTACTTTGATAATAATTTGTCACGAACAACAAAACAAGCTGAAATATATTTTATGAATTGTATATTGATAAAGTATTTAGAAGAGTTCATCAGTTCATTGATCATACCGTTTATAGGTAACTGGGTAATATTTGGAATCAAAGTCTTGACTTCATAGTAAAATTTATTCCTAATCATAGAGTGTGTAGGACATTGAATTTCTTTCACTTGAAGCAGAAGATAATGTAACGTAGGTGTTTTTCCCGTTACGGATAATAGGAAGCATCAAACTAACATAGACGGATAAAGATAGTAATCAAACACTAACGAATAAGCATCAAATACTAAAAGCCCTTCTCCCAGCTATTCCTCTTGCTAAGTCTAGGTAACTAGAGGAGGTATGATCGGTTTTAAAAGATCTATAAAATTCAAGTTTTTGAGAATGTTGAAGGGTGTTTTGCCAATATGAGACATACTCCTGTTTCATTGAACTTACATAGCAGCCCAAGCTGAGTATGAGATACGTTCGGTATCATATTGCGCAATCCTCAAAATGCCCGTGACAATTATACATGTAATAGATACTAGACAGTAGTAACCAAGTGTCAGGAAGTGCGGGCGAAGATATGCGGCGTTTACCTTAAATTGATTGATTTTGAGAACCGCTTTTATAATTGTGTACATAAATAAGAAAGCCCTAGTTAATAGTTCCAGTATCAACACAATGAATCACGGAGGATCATGAACGTGGAAATTGTATTAAACAACACAGTGAACAAGACTGTTATTGAATTCAACTATTTTGTTCACAACTGCTTAGATACAGGTAATCTTGCGAACGATGAGAAGCGACTGAGGAGAGACGGCATTTTTCGCAGGCAAAGATAAATGCGTGACAACGCTCAAAGTGAAATGAAAATAGCACGAACTCTTATTATTCATGAATCAGTGTTCGGTAACGAAAGGTCATTAAAGGCCTGTTTACATGGAGTGGGAGACCCCGGTCTAGTGGGGTTAGTTTCTTTTGTTTTCACTCTCTGGGGGACACAAAACAAAAGAAACCTACCCCAGAAGACTGGGGTCCCCCACTCCATGTAAACAGGGTCTAAGATGCAACAGTGAATCATGAAGAAGCTTAGTTTAAGGTGACTCGACCCAGTTTTTTTTGGGGGGTACCATCCTACTTTGAAGCTCTCTGGTATCCCCACCTTCACTTTTATCGTAAGTCTAACACATAGAATGGATAACATATAGATCAATCTACAATATAACATAAAAATTTTGGCGATCGGAGTAAATGTCACGTGGTTATAATGCCACGCCCCTTTGAGGTCTGAGTCGAAAATCTGCTGTTGCCGGCATTTTTTGGTGAAAATCTCTCGGCTACACATAGTGCGCATTAGTGTCTTGCGCTGAACAGAGTTTCACCAAAATCGCAAAGACCCAATTCGAGAAATTCAGCGGTTTCCAAATTTAGGTCATAATTTATGCGAAAATGATAAGCAAACTTTACACGGATTATATCTAATAAACTATGAGATTCATCTCTTTATTTTGGGCATCGTTATAACAGATGGGTCCTTGCAAGTCAGCAAAACGCTTTAGGGCCTTGTAAATGCGCGCGATTTCGAGCAAAGCAAACATATAGAAATTATAGTTTTCGCTATTTGTTGACGTTTGTCAGCGTTTAAGAGTCCTTCTCACGAAAAAAGCATTTTCTTAAAAATTCGTAGTTTTTTTTCCTTCAAATTTTTTCAGGGCCACAATTGATTAACTAACTACCCGGACTCTGAATTTCATGGTCATTGAAAAACTGTGACATTATCTTCTTTAAGCCCAAACTTGAGTAAACATTGAAGATTTTTAGCGTTTTGGCTGAGTTTGTGCTTTGGGAGTTGTCTATTGTTTCTAGTCTGTCATTATACAGCATTCTTGTTCAGCACGCGTGTAATGACCGCGCTTGGCTGACTTCCGAATGCTCACCGAGATATTCCCGTCACGAGTTGGTTTAATTATTGGCTTGCATTAAACCTATGAAAAAATGCCGAGAGATTTTCACCAAAAAATGCCGGCAACAGCAGATTTTCAACTCAGACCTCAAAGGGGCGTGGCATTATAACCACGTGACATTTACTCCGATCGCCAAAAATTTTATGTTATATTGTAGATTGATCTATATGTTATCCATTCTATGTGTTAGGCTTACGATAAAAGTAAAGGTGGGGATACCAGAGAGCTTCAAAGTAGGATGGTACCCCCCCAAAAAAACTGGGTCGAGTCACCTTAAACTGCTCATTGAAGTTACAGATACCAAGCGACGCAACATGCTTGAAAACACATACAACGTAAAACAGTTGTAGTGTGACCTGAATTAAGTTAACTCACATGGATTTATAGGCTCATTTGTATCTTACCAGCTCATCCCACACGAAGCTGAGATCAGGCTCTGCTTTCGTTTCACTTATTAAATAGATTTTTGGCAGCAAGGCGAATTGAAAAGTCTTGCATTTGATACAGTACGTGTACACCTGAATTACGCTGACTACGTGTTTTCGAAACAAACAAATATTGTTGCATGCCCTTGGTAACATTACCGCTGTCTCTCGACTTGTATTCATGTAATACCAGGGCCTTCGCCATCAATTCGCGGCCACGTACAAAACGGGAATTCCAAGAATGTGGAAAGATTTTGCAAAAACCTCGCTGTACAGTTTATAAAGTACCGCTGACCAAGAATAGTCTGGGCGCTCCTCTTGTTGCCCGAAATTAAGGATTTGTGTGAGAATTCAGTTAATAGATTCAAGAACATTCGCTTTAATTGTCAATAAACACTTAACCTTTTTAATTGGTTCATTCTTGTTTGTTGTGCCGTTATTTTTCCGATACGCTGCAATTAACCCGATTTTCTTGATCCCCGAGTTTGGATCCGGAAAATAACCGCTCAACAAGCAAGATCAAACTCAGAAAAAAGGTAAAGTGTTTTTCATGAAAATTCCAAAGAGTATCTATCTTCTTGAATCTATGACCTTAATTTCCATACAAATCCTTTATGATCACGACCATTTTGAAGGTTACGCCAAATGATACCGGTAATATCACATTAAACATTCTAATACTAAGCTTGGGTTGCCTGTGTACAAAGCAAGTACAGTTGAACCACCATGTCCAACCACCCCTCGTAAACAACCACCGCCCCTACACGACCACCTATCCAAACCAAACACAGAAACTTTTCCCAGTCACAAGCTTTAGTTCCGTACCATTCATAAGCGGCCGCGCCATTTTTGGCCGGGTGCTTTTGAGGCAACTGTCTTTACAATATTCCATTGATTTTCACCTCAGTTGTAAGCGACCATTTGACGCATGGTGTGATCTCTAAGTAATCTGTATGTAAAATTCTACTCATATCAACAACATGTCTAGGAACCAAAATATATATGTAGCCATATATCGTGTATAGGGATCTCTCTCCCCGGAAGAGATCCTCCGTGGTTCGATTCTCGTAGTAAGCGGCTAATCGAATAGCGACCACAAAAACTTTGCATTTTGGGTCGTCACTTACGGGAGGTAAAATTCAGTGACCGCTGAAATTGATCCTTTAATATATCTTTTCTTTTTCTCCCACTAGACGTAATAGTGTAGAATATGGCATCATTAAAAAAAGTCAAAGTAGTGCTACTGGCCTCCGAGTGGAGCTCAAAGCATGGTGGACTATCTACCTTCAACAGAGTGTTAGCCATACAGTTGGCCCAAAATCCAAAGGTAGCAGTTTCCGTCTTTCTCCCAGAATGCGACCAGACCGAAAGGGACGCGGCAAAGAAGAACAACATTACTTTAGTTGAGGCAGAACCCAGGCCTGGCATTGACAAAATGCTATGGTTATGCCATCCACCGAAAGATCTTGAAATTGACTTTGTTATCGGCCACGGGGTAGTGCTTGGTCGTCAAGCACAATTTATAACAGATAATCGCTCATGCAAGTGGGTACAATTTGTGCACACCGACCCAGAGGAGCTGGGGATGTTCAAAGATTACCCAGATGCAGTTTCAAAGGGAGAAGAGAAGCATCAAACGGAAGTCAAACTCTGCGAAATGGCCGACTTCGTTGTGGCAGTGGGTCCTAAACTGGCAGAGGCTTATCGTTCCTACCTTCGACATTGTGGGAAAGACCGAGATGTCTTTGAGCTTACACCAGGTATCTTCAGCGAGTTCTCTAACGTACTGCAAAGCACGCAAGAAGGGGGCAAATTTCGAGTTTTATCTTTTGGGCGTGGCGATGCCGAAGACTTCCACTTGAAGGGATTTGACGTCGCGGCCAAAGCCGTAGCAAATCTTCATAATGCTCATCTGATCTTTGTTGGCGCTGCGAGCAAGGAACAAGACGAAGTGGCAGAGCGTTTGAAGAAATGCGATTTACCTCCAAGTCGTCTCAGAGTAAGGGCTTACAAGGATAAACGAGAGGGCTTAAAACAGCTTTTCTCTGGGGTGGACCTTGCTTTAATGCCGTCGAGAACCGAGGGTTTTGGACTCGCCGCTTTGGAAGCCCTATCTGCAGGACTACCTGTTTTGGTCAGTGCCAATTCAGGATTCGGAGAAGCCCTTGGTAAAGTGCCTTTTGGTTCAGGATGTGTGATTTCCTCTGACGATGCTGGAGTATGGGCTGAAGAAATCGGCAAGGTGATGAAAAAGCCAAGAGTCACCCGCTTGGAGGAATCAAAATCAATCCTCGAAAATTATGCCAAAAAGTACAACTGGCAGGAACAAACCAAAGATCTCGTTGAAAAAATCATGGCCATTCGTAAGGGTAGGCAGTTCTATTGTTATCTGATTTTGTGAAATAATTCATAAATGCAGTCATATGCCACCTACATTTTTCTCATTTATTGCTTTAATTAATCTGCATAGTGATTTTAAAGATGAATTGACAAATCGACATTAAATGTTAGGTTTGAAGAATCATTAGAGTTAACCAAGGGCCATTTTGGTTGTGAGTGTTTTGTACAGGCAATCACATGATTTCGAGTGCAATTTGGGATGAATCAGCACAAGTAAATTTTTCAAAGGTTAACCAAATTGTAATTAATTTTGTGGTCTTTGAAAAATTTACAACTATTTATTTATCCCAAATTGTACGAGAATAACCGTGTGATTACTTGTTAGTATATACATGCAAAGATTTGACTTGCTCTTCCTCTTTTGCGTGTCACCGAGCCACTCCTCCTTGTTCCGGCCTACAAATGACAGCCTGGACCAAGATTGGTCTAGATTTTGATAGTTGAATACTTGACGGACAAAAACCACTAGAAGCTCGAAATTTGTTTACCGAAAAGTGAAGCCTTTTGTCGTTTTACGCTTTTTAACTTTTCAAGTTATTCCACTGCCGCCACGGAAAGAACTACAACTGCGATAAAGATTATATTCCTTTGTTGTGTTTTGTATATTTGGGTTTTGGTTGAGGAAAGCGTCGCAACGGGGATTTCAGCGATGGCTGTTTTTGTCTGGTTTAACGGCGGGCATAATTATTTTAAGTTTCAGTCATACGGCACGGTGACTCATAAGATAAATGTGCACAAGCTTTTAAACAGTTTTCTGACTGTAAATGAAAAGGACAAGTTCTAAAGAAAACTTAGTCGTCGTGTTGGTTTTAAAAAGAAGGCTTTAAGCGGGGTATGTTCGTCTAGTATTCGCCTTCCAAACGCGAAGTCGACTAAAATACAAACACACAGAAAACATTAGGTTTTAAAAAAGATTTTCCGCAACTCCTCAATCACACTACTTCCTTATGAAAGGTGATTTTGTTTTCAGACATTTTTCCTGTTTTGAGTGTCCTTCAAGAATTTTGCATTTTGCTATTTGGGAGGGAGTAAGGGAGGGTACGAATATCTCAAAACCGCACAGAATAACATGAGAAAACCGCAAACCGCTTGGTCATGTAAAACAGCAAAACCGCACCAAAAATCGAGCAAAACCGCATCACCGCAAACTTACGCCCCCCTGATTAATGGCTTTGTTTCTTCTGGTTTCGTTCTTGGAGTGTGGGTCAAACTTTGCCGCGTAAATGAAACTGAAATCAGACTTGCTTTTTAATTATGGTTGCAGGACTTGTGATTTACGTCTGTTTGCACATTCTCCACCCTCAACGAAAAAAATACGTAAAGGAGTTGTCGATTGTTCTACTGACAGACCCTTAACTCACCTGGCGCTGTTGATCAATTTAATTTCAACTTTCTGCAATCAATTTCAACTTTTTGCACTCAAACATTTCAACTTTCTGGACTGTTTGGGATTAATTGACGTGCTCTGATCTCAGCCAATGAGCGTGCTTAAATTATTGCACTTATATTATTAGTGTATCAATTACTAGGAACCTCTAAGGTCTGAAAAGCTAGAAAGTAAAATAAGACGATTAAAGGGAGCATTACTATAATACAAACGAAACGTTAATCACTGTCACCGTCCGTACGGTCCTACTCGGGACCATAGTTACGTAGATACTCTCGTTTGCAGGGACGATTGAAAACAGTCTACTCACTACCATATAAAAATTTGTTATTTCAGAATTAGACATGATTTCTTTTAACTTTTCTTATTTTTTTAACTTCATATCTAAAACATAAATTTCTGCTTTAATTTCACTTTTTTATAGATTCCCCGCGAACATCATCTTCGGACGGCGCTAAGAAGCGAAAAGGAGATTCTCTATCAACAGGTGATTGAAAGGGTATCAATACAAGCTAGGAATAACACATTATTTATATCACAAATAGATAAGTTCAAACCTTTGGTTCTTGTCCTGCTGTTTTTGACCTGACGTCTTAGCTTTCAGATTATTAGCCTGTTCCAGGCGTTTAGATAGTGGTGAGCAAGTTAAATCGTACGCGGCGAGCCCAAAAAGAAACACGAGGGGAGACTGGGCGGGAGCGAGAAAACCCCCCCTTTTCCAGCCCTATTTTTCCCTCGTCAATGGAACAGGCTATCAGATTATGTAGGAAGCTTGTACTTCAACCCAGCCGGCACCGGTTTCCGTTGTTTAAAGGGGAAGGGTAAGAGGCAGTTCTCCTGCTTGAAACTGGTGGACAGAAAGGACCTTTCTTCATTAAAAATGAACTAAATAAATTACCATTCTTTTCAAATAGACCAATAACCGGTTTTGCCTGTGCGCCTCCACATCTCCAAAACCGATGCATGCTGGGGTCCCAGTGGCGGATCGATCTAGGGGAGGTGCCCGGGGAGCCCCCCTCCCCCCTCCTTCCTTATTTTAGACCAAACTAAAGCCCGGCCCGAAGGGCGGGGCGCTTATACGGACCTCCCTAAAAATCACGCCTTAGATCTTATTCTTACTTACATGTTGTACTTTAACTAATATGTAGCCACTTACATGTTTAAAGTTAACGTTCAATATAAAGTTACAAATAACTCGTTAAAAATATACCATGTACGCACCTTGCCTTGGTAGTGATAAATTAGTAAAAGCACAAATGAGCAGGAAACCACCACCGCTGTTTTTTCACCAGTTGACCCTGCTTTCCTGTTTCACACTTGTCATAGCAGGTAACACCGCTGACCAATAGCTACCACAGGCCTACTAACAAATTCAGACAGTTTCAAGTTGTCCCTCTCGATCACCGCTCGTTGATCCACGTTGCGTCAAGGACCTCTCCAGCGTCATCAGTTAAATCCGGTTACCTTCTTTGGTCAAAAATAAATCCAAAGCATTCTTGTAGACAGATAAAGCCAAAATACTTGTCTCCAGCGTTTGAGTTGTTAGATTGGAGAGATGCTTGCAGAGTGGAAAAGCATTGTAGACTGAGAACTTCTTTTAGCTCAAGTTACTTTTTTAATTGCTCATATATTTATGTATTAAAGTATTTTCTTATTTATTAATAAATTTATTTTAGTATTTTGTTTTTTTGGTCTTCGGATATTTATCTCTAGGTTTGTCATGCTTTGTTGTAATACATGTGACCTTTAGTGTAGCTAAAGTAAGCGGGCCGAGAAGAGTTGTCTCCTTAGTATGGGCTATTAACAGTAAGGGGTGAGAGGGAAAGTCAGAAATTTGGTTTGATCAACTAAATATTCTGTGATTAACAGTACCTCTTAAAATGCTGAGTTTCCTTTCTTTTCTTTTATTATTTTTTGATACCTAAAGAAGAGCCAGCTTCAAAAACAAGTAAGACGACATCAAGTAGCAATCCCAGTGATGCTGATCATGCAGAAGACGCGACTTCGGGGATTTCAAATGACGGTATAATGTCTATAATCTTGTTGTTATGTATGAATTTAAGCTCTTTCGATAATAAGTCCATAAAACATTTCTAACAGCAGAAAATAGGTTTTCATTTGTTGCTGATATCCTTAGTAATCACATTATTTTTGAAGACTGGCGTCACTACAATAATGGAAAGAGAAGTATACCTCCCTCCTCACGTGACTACCAAACTGAATTATTTAATTTTTCAAATGATATAGAAAATAGGTTTTGAAAATCAAATGACTTCCAGATTGCAGACGTGACCAACGTTCAAAACAACTTTATTTTACTGTTTGGGTAAGGTTATTAAATTCAATTAACAATTTTCTTTTTTGTGCAGAAACGAAGTCTCGAAAAACGGAAAGTAACCCTCCAGAGGTAGATGTTGCTGTGCTTACAAATAAAGAACTTCCTAAAACATCAAAACGTTTGAATCTTGAGCAACTGCCAATCGATATTCTGTTGTTGACAGTACAGGACTGTGAGTTTTTAGCCTGTCTTTCCCACCTGACGGGTTTCTCGAGGATGTTTCAAAAAGACCTTGGCGACGTGTACATCGGAAAAATAGGGGAGATGAAAATCGCTCTAATGAAGTGCAGAATGGGTGCGGCTGGTCCTGGAGGTGCAGCAGGTGTTGTTAGAGACGCAGTCAAAGCCTTAACGCCCAAGGCGGTGTTTTGTGTTGGTTACTGTGGGGGCTTACAACCAGTCAAAGTCAAGCTAGGAGATGTAGTTATTTCCGAGGTACTAATCACATACGCTCCTTCAAAAGTCACCAAAGATGGTATTGAAGAACTTGGCGACCGAGTTCCGCTTAAGCCCAATCTTGCCAAGGTAATACTCAATGCTGCTGCTGGATGGAGCGCACCGTTGCGGGATCCATCAGAATTAGAGGTGGAACAGGTACGAGGTGCGTTACTGAGTGGACCACAAGTGGTCGATGACAATGATTTGCGTGAAGCACTTCTCAACCGATTCCCTGGGGCAATTGCTATCGAGATGGAGGGCGAAGGTAAAGTAAAGTAACATTTTATGACAAAAATTCATCAATCTCCATTCAAGTGACGTAAACTGCGTTAGAAATGGGCGTATCGGTTATCCAAAAAGTTCCGATCCATTGATAATAATGCATTCCCCGTATACACCAACGCTCAAAGGTGTTTTAACGTTGTTTATTAGTTTCCTAAAGTGTTAAATCCTGTTTTAATTGGTTTAAAATGTGTACCATTCAGACTAACTAGAAAATAATTGTAGCGGCTTTTGATTACTTTCTAACAATCGCTTGACGTGAAAACTTTGGTGTAAACGAGACACAAGGTTTGAGGCATTTTTAAACAAATGGAGAATTGAACTAAGCTGGCTTCAATTCTGTTCTAAACCATACACTTTAAAAAAATACATTTGGGAGCTTGAGCAACTACGAAGGCGCGGAGGGCAAGTGGAACGTCGAAAAAGGAAAACTGCACATTAGCTGATTCAAACAAAAAATCAGCATACTTTTAGATCTTTGGTCAAATTCCAGATCCTTCTCTTGGAAATGTCTTATCTACTACATGTTATCTTCACTTTAAGGTGTTTACTCAGCAGCACATGACCTGAACGTTGAGTGGATAATTATAAAAGGCGTGTCGGACTTCGCAAATGGCAAAAACTCTGAGAAAAATGCATGGCGACCCTTTGCGAGTTTAATGGCTGCATCATTTGTTGCTCATATCCTCAGTAATCCCATCATTTTTGAAGACTGGCCTCACTACAATAATGGAAAGACGAGTCTACCTCCCTCCTCAGGTGACTACCACACTGACGTGTTTAATTTTTTCAAATGATCATTATAAAACAAACAACCAACAGTGTTCCAAGATACAACAGACCAAGACGCGACTGATTCTACACCTGAATGTGGCTTTTTTTTTTAATTTAAAAATGAAGAGGCCACAATAGCTGCAAAGCTTTTAACTGATTCATTCTAGAGACGCATTAGTGAATACAAAAGTGATCGCTTCTAAACGGCAATCATCGAAAAGTTCAGTATTCTAATGCTGAATCGCTTATTGGACTGAATGATGACTGTTTCTTCCATGTTTCAATGGGAAGAAAAACCCCTAATAGTTTTTCGATAAAAAGACCTTTAGAATCGGTAATCTCGTACCCAGATCTCTTATTGACGAAGCCGAAGGCGAGATCTGGTCAAGTAAAAAAATTCAGTTTAAAACCTCTCTCTCGGTATCAATAAAGATTTTTTAAAAAGAGGGAAAAAAAAACTCTCGCATAGAAGTTGACGCGTACTGCCTTGAGGTTTTAGCATGGATAAGAGAAAGACTATTATCCATGGTTTTAGCGCGCGTTATGATAATTAAATTTAAACCATAAATTATCCATGTTTAATCTAACTTTCGTGTTGAATTTGATGTTACAAAGAACAACAACCATAACAACAAATTATGTCATGCAAATAAATCATGTTTACAGTCAGTTTTCATTTCCCCGCGCATTTAATTTCGCCTCTTCTAACCCGTAAGTTTTTCAGTTTCCTTATGAAACGATCACAGCGCCGATAAAGCAGACCAAGACTCACTATGCAAAGGCCAAAAGCTACCTCAGGACTTTATCCTCGTCTTTGATGTACATGAATTTGTTACTAAGTAGGGTTACAAATTTTTCTTTCCAGATCAAGCCGGTAAGCGTGATGAACAACCATCCAAAGGCAACAAAAAGACCGTATCTGGTGATAAAGGTATAAATATAGTAGCTATTTAAAGGTTCATTTAATCGACCTTAAAGTTTTGTGTTGATTTCATCTTCCTTTCAACCGCTTTGATGTCTCAAGTAGACTTTTTCTTGACAAGACCCCTTTAATAGGACCACACATCTACGCTGCATAATGATTCTGGGTTTGCCACTTACGGGTTTACGTGATATAGTAAAAGGAAAAGTGAGCTCAATCTTTTCCCAAGAAGTTATTTACTGAAGTAATCGATTACATTACTTAAAGCTCCAGTAGCTGTCATATAGGTTGGCGAAACCTCACGACATGTCTGGAATCAAGGAGCTTAAAATAATGGCCATATCAGAACGTGGCAGTTCTATTTATTGATATGATGATAAGTTAGGAATATGAAATGCATCTTTTTGTAACTCTGTAAAATAAATGTGTGCTATCATTTATTACAGCTTTAATAAGAGATGGTACGCCTGAACCAGAGGACTTAGAACGCTTGTCAAAAAAGATGGGAGCATCCTGGGAAACTGTTGCTCGGCGCCTTGAGTTTGAGCAGGAAGAAATTAATGAATTTGACCATGAGTATAAAGGATTCGCGAAGAAAGCCTATCAAATGCTCTGTAGGTGGAAAAAAAGGGAAGGTATAAAAGCAACTTACGAAGCTCTGTATAATGCCTTGACTCATGACCTTGTACAGCGTAGGGATTTAGCAGAGGCGTTTTGCCTATTAACCGTGGAATAGTACCTTCAAAAGGCCATTTTAGATGCGATATAAAGTTGTGCTTTACATATTTCATCCACCTCTTTTATACTTTTCGCAATAAAGTAATATACCTTTAGCCCTTTTTTTAGCAAATTTGTACGTACTTTTTTATAACTTGCACGAAAGAAAGGAGGCGAATGACGGCTGTGGAACTGATGGACCATTGGCACCAACCAAAAATATTTCTTTTTTTAGAAATCTGTTTTTTTATTCATGATTCCAAATCCTAAAGTTGAATTCTATTTCCAATCAGAAGCATCCAAGAGACTTTTGGAAATTTCACGTTTCCGTAACAGGGTGTTTAAAGGAATGAAATATTTTTATGTTTACACAGGCGGATGTTTCTCGCATTTACTGTGAACAGTTGAAATACGTAAATTCGTCAAAATAAGTCAAAAGTAAAACGACCCCATAATCCTACACGCACTCAGGAAAGACAGCTGAAAACGGGGCACTAGAACTACATTTTAAGATTAAGCTTAGTCGTTAATTACATGCGTCAGCCACGAAAAACTTTAACTTTGACGTCGTTGATATTACAGCGCATTAACGCCCATTACCTGCCTCGATCCTCCACGAGCTTTTACAAGTATTTTTGAGAGCGATCGCAGGGCACGAATAACGTCGCGAACGAGGTTTCCCTCGTTGTCTCGGCCCCCTTTAACACCACTTTCCTGAGTAATTTATAAATCATATACTGTATCCCCAAATGGGTGATCGTAAGCGACTGGGGACGGGCGAGGCAGCCTCCAAGCAATAGTAAGCCACGTTACTCGTCCATATATATTTAAATATTACGTTTCTAAAAACAGTTTACTTTTGGTAAGTTTCGCTAACACTTCTCGAGGTTCACCTTTTTTTTATTGTATTGTAAACCTCAACAGTTTGTTAATAACCTTAGGTAGGCTTAAGATTTTATATCAAATAGCGTGACTGTGATTTAAAGCCCACTCTTAGTTACCTTTCATAGTTTTTAAGCAATGTACCAAGTACATAAGGTTGTACATAACAGATACATATAGTTGTTTTGTTGCAACCAAGTTTTAGTCAGTTATTTAGTAACAATGTACCTGTTAGAATTTTTCCTACAATAGAGTGTGTTTCATGTACTCGTGTTGTCTATTTCAGTACTCTGATCTGATCACAGTTGTTGGCTTCACACTAGAAGCTAAGTTAGCCTTCAAGTAGGCAGTTGATTCAAGAGCACTTGAAAGTCTTAAGTCGCTCTGTAGAAAACATGGCCTCACCGTAGTTCACAGGTATCTACACCTGATTCGCCTAATGGATTCTGGAAATTATCGGAAGAAATCTTTAATAGAATAAGCGATAAAAGAGAGCATGTCAATTATTTACTAGCCAATCGCGATGTTGCCAAGCGGCAAAATATCTTGTTTTAAATATCTCGTTTTAATAATCAATTTTGTCGTTCTTTGCTTTTAGTATTTTTCTGATTTTAGTACTCTTATGATAATAGATTTTTTATTTTTATCACATGTTCATAATAATTTTGTAAATAGATTTTTGTAAATAGAGATATCCTGAAGAGATATAATAAAGTTATCTTAATTATCTTACCCTATATTCTCGCTCAAAGTTGGTTCCAAGTACACTTACATTATACTTGAAGCTCTAGTGTGAAGCCAACAATTATTTAATGTAAGGGCGATAGGCATTATCACGGTTCTCGACGCCATCTTGACGAGTAGGCAACCGCGTGAGAAATTACAGTGTTTATATCAGACTGTTGAATAATTTCCGTAAAACCGTAATTTTCTATACAGTTGTCCGTAAAAATTTCTCTCCCTACCGACTAAAATTTCCCGGGAAAAATTGCACACAAATATATGGAAAATCTAAAGCAAGCGTCTGGAGAATTTTAAGCACAGTAAAAACTAGTTAGTAAAATCTTTTGCTGTGTAGCTTTAGTTTACTAAACGTTTAAGCAGTTTCCAATGCGACATTTATCCAAGGGCGACATATCATTTGAAAAAACCTGTATATGTAAAACGGAAAGGTGTTTAAAGTTGTAATGGCTCGCTGTTTTGATCGCATAGAGTTTTTGTTATAATCCTCCAAAAAACGATTTGATTGGATGCGACGCTTACTCGAAGGGGACGTTTAATCGAGTAAATGCGGTATTGTTGCAAACGAATATTTCTGTGTTCACACAGAGACAGAGATCAAGACCTGGCCGCGGTTGTTCAAAAGATGGATAGCGCTATCCACCGGATAAATCTCTATCCAGCGGACAACTAGTACAAAAACTAATTGCGTTATCCACTTGATAGTGATTTATCCAGTGGAAAGCGCTATCCACCTTTTGAACAGCCAGGGCTAGAAGTTTAATCTCAGTTCAGACAGGCGGTTCAAATTTAATCAGCCGAACTGTTTCCATGACAACAATTTAATTAAGAGTAGGGATTTCACAATAATTTCTGAATCCCGGAAGTATGTAACCAGTCGCCCGAGACAAGGGAAATTTCCCTGGTATTTCTTTCAATTCATCATTTTAATGAGAAAGGCTTAGAAAAGCAAGGAGTAAGTCATTTTCATTTAGCTGTGGATGGTCGTAGATGTATTTCTGGCCTCTTCTCCATATTTTGTTTGTAGACAAAGTGAAGGACCCTGAAACGATCTTTACTCTAATGAGTTGCCTAGACATCAAAAAATTGTTGTCACGCGATCTTCACTTCACAAAGGAACAACATTCCTATTCAGGATTGCTTAAACTGGGACTGAAGGTATATGATTTGATCTGTCATCTTTTGAGGTAATTAAATGATACTATTTTCACTTCAATCTACTTCATATTAATTGCTTGTGACTCATGACTCATTTTGTAGCTCACTTATAAACCCTTTTACAGCTGAAACGAGACCCCAAATTTCCAAATTTCAACCCATTTAAATCCAGAAAATTCTATTTCATTACATCATATGCGACGAGGTTCCCACCCTGATCTACTAAATGAGAAATTTTGCAAATACCATAACCGATGCAGAGAAATTCAACTTCGCCCAGGTTGATAGGACCTCGCAGACAAAGGGGTTACTTATTCGTAACAAGGAAATGTCGTCTTTGTGTAGATTGCAAGAGAAAATTAGTTTTCCACCATGCATCTTTAGACTGTCATAAAAAAAAACCATTTCCCTTTATTTTTCGGATCAAGGTATTTCTTGATCCAGGAAGCTTTATGAACGTATTTATGTCCATCATCCTTAGACCACCCTCCAAATAATCCTTTATTGTAAACTCTCTTTTAATGTTGTCGCCTTTCCCTTCGCTATAAAACATTTAATTTCATGGGCTATTAGCTTCTCAAAGGGGTGTAGTGGGGACGGGGAGGGAGGCAGAGAAGACCATTGCTGTGATCAAATTTGATTAGTTATGATTTTCTCTTTTTGTTTTAAAATCACTTAAGTATAAATTTCTAGATTTACACAGGTTGAAGGTTATTCGTTGTAATTTTTTGGTTTTCAGCAATTAAAAGCGTGTAAATGGAAGCTTCGCTTTTAGTCTTAGCCTGAGAAAACAGACGACATTTTTCGACGCCACCGGTAGTTTCTTTATTTCGCGGGAAAACTACCTGTGGCGTCGCAAAATGTCGTCTTTTAAGTCTTGGCTAAATATATATATTATAAACACAATGAATATTTTCGCCAGGGATTTGGGCACATCAGAATTGAGCTCATAATACCATGCAATACTAAGAGAGAAGGAGCTCACTCTCTTGGTATCATTAATTTAAAGATGATCTACAACTTGTGGAAGTCCGCTGTGGTCGATATGCGTACCGTAGTTTCTGTGTTCACAACAGTAATCAAGTCCAAAAGTGTGATCTCCCTTCCGACAGGCAGTTCAAATTTCATTAGCCGATCTGTTTCCATGACATCATGTTAATTTCACAATAATTTCTGAGTGCCGGAAGTACTTAACCATTCATTCGCCTGACAAGGGAAATTTCCCTTGGAGTTATTTCAATTCATCGATATTTTTATGAGAAAGGTTAAGAAAGCAAAGAGTAAGTCATTTTCATTTAGCTGTGGATGGTCGTAGATGTATTTCTGGTCTCTTATCCGAGTCAAGAGAAGGACTCTAAAACTATCTTTACTCTAACGAGTTGCATAACAAAATTTGTTGTCACGCGATTTTTCACATCACAAAGCAACAACACTCCTATTCAGGATTGCTTAAACTGGGACTGAAGGCATATCATTTGATCTGGCATCTTTTGAGGTAATTAGCTGATACTAAAATTCACTTCCATCCACTTCACATTCATTGCTTGTGACTCTTGACGTTCGCCGATTGTCAGACTGGATCGATCACATGTTTAAATATTCCGAATGAAGAGCGCGCAGTACCGACGTTTTAGTCGGCAATATGTTTGACTCTACAGTGGAACCCCGCTC